CGTGGGTGCCTGTGCGCGTGCGCGGGGGAGTGGGTCCAGCGCCTTGGTGCCGCCCCTTCGCCCCGACTGCGTGCGCCCGCGCGCGTCCGCAGGCTTGAGCGTTGGGACTAGGTGATGGGGGTCCTGCCACCACTCCAGAGCTGGGGAGGGCAGGGGAAGCGGTTCTTAGCGTGCAGGCTGCACCTGTCTCCCCTCCCTATTTTGAAGGCCGGTCCTGTTTGCCTAGAGTTCTGCCTCTCTCTCCCCTCTGTACCCTGCACCAAGGACTTGGGCCCCGAGGTGAGGCCCCCTACTGTTCAGCGCTGTCTTGGGCCACACCCGGCGTGCTGTAACGATCAGCACCACTCCTCCTCCCCCTTCTCCCCGCCCGCTTATTCACCCGCCCCTGCATTGCAACTTCACTGAGGCCTGACGGTTTCAGTTATGGATTAACCCAGATTGAGAACTGAAGCCCCTGTGTGTGTGAGAGGGAGGGGTCGGAGGTGGGGGATGAAATCTGGTCAGGGCACGGCCTAGCAGCAGCACTGGGGAACCCTGCATGGCAGGGGGCAAATCCTTTACCCTGAAGGGAGACAGGGACAAACCGGCTTTGAGCAGTATCTAGATTCCTGGGGTCAATGGTTGGCCAGAGGCCCACACCAAGTGGGGGTGGGGTGGAGGCCGGCTTGGACCAGTCACTACCTTGAGCATGGACCTCCCGGAGCGGCAGGTCCGATTAGAATGTTTCCATGGTGTGTGCAGTGGCCCTTAGGTGGGATTTTCCATTCTGACCAGGCATGTGCTCTGGGGTTGGGTTTCCAGGGTCTGGGTCTGAGTAGTCTGCACCTGCTGCCCCTTCGTGGTTCAATCCCTGGGGCACTCAGATCTCCTGCTGTGGGCTAGGCTGCACCTGGAGGGCCAGGGGGAGGGGATCAAATTAGGCATTGCCCATGGAGGTCCCAGCCAGGGTGGGAGACAGCCCTAGATTGAGTTCCAGCAGCCAGAGATGTTCTGTTCCAAACAAGTAGCCTCTTCCCAGTGGGTATCCTGGGAAGACTGTGCTGGAGGCCAGGGGATTGCTGCTACTGGTGCACATGGGGGTGGGTTGGGTGGGTTGTAAGTGCATCCTCAGAAAGGTTAAAAGTGCTCACTGGCCAGAGTGGAGCCTTGAGGTATGCAGGTAGAAGGCCCTCAGCACGCTGAGCAAAGGAGTTGGGCTTTGTCTGGGGAGTGAGAGGTTTTAAAACATGTCCTGGTGGCAGAACCTGTCGGTGTCCCAGTGCTCTGTGGGAAGTGTCTGGAAATATGGATACACCTAAGTCTGTCTTATGAACATGACACTCTACATGTCCATGGTATAAAACCACCACTCTGAGCTCACACGTGTCTAAAAAGCAGGGTCATAGGCTGTTTCTGAGGTTTTATTTTAACGTATGCTTGGAAGCAGCTGGAAGCAGCTGTCCAAGTTTTATATACAGAGTGATATATACATGTAGATTTGTATAGATACACACATATATATGTATGAGTCTCTGCAGTCATGAATTTTGTCAGTGGGAATTGGTCATTCCTTGGTGCCAAGTTGGTCCTCTTGGTTGGGGGCTGATGGATGAGGGGAGGGATGGGGTCTTTCTTGTGTCTGGCAGCCTTTCTTGGGGATGGATGGTGGGTGCCTGGAGACAGATAACTTAATTTGATGGTCCAAGGAAGGTTCTGAGCTGGGCCGTGGTATGCTGGGGGACTGTCTTAAATAGGGGTGTCAGTGGCCAAATCAGCAGGTGGGGTATTGTTTAGATATGAGAACATAAGCAGAGAGGAGAGCCCTTTCTTGGGGAACTATTGGGTCACAGATTTGGGCGGAGATACGGGGTCCTGCTTGGTTCTTGCTGAACCTGAGGATGCTGTGGAACATCTGGGTGAAGTTGCTGCAGTGCAGATGGGCTCTTGGGACTGGCTTCAGAGAGTGGTCAAGGCTAGAGGTCAGGGAGCTCTCTGGACAGAGGTAGAAGAGTCCAAAGGAAACAAAAACCAGGCCAGAGAACTTCCAGAGAGCAAGGAGGACCTGGAGAACCCACTCCAGGGAGGCCAGCCCTTTTGGAAGAAGAGGTTGGGGTCAGCAGGAGTGCCTCAGCCTATTGGGGAATAAGGATGGAGACCCTGATAGGGAGTGGTCTGTGGAACAGCAATATAGCTGAGCACTGTGGGTGGAGGATGGCCACAGTCCCTCATTGGGTCAGAGGCTCCATACCCCATGACCCCTGGCTATCTGGGCCTGAGGCAGCTGCTTCCTGCTGGACTCCAGAAGCGTCCATTCTCACTTCTCATGCTGTTCACTGTCTCAGGAGCATGGGAGCAGGCTCAGCACCAGTTTCTGGTAGTGAGAGGAGCCTTGTGGAGCCATCCACACACTCAGGCTCACATGCTGTGACCAACCAGTAGTGCATGAGCGGGTGCTTGGTCACAGACAAGGAATCTCAGATTTGGGCGGACAAGGGATCTCAGATTTGCCTTGGGGCAAAACTGGAGTGTGGACCATGGACAGAGTCACAGCTGTGTGCCAGGCTGCTGGTTGATCTACCTCATGCTCCATGTCTGTGTGGTGGAGGTCTGGCTGGGGGAGGGGTCTCATTCTACCCATGCAAGCCAGTGGTGGCTGTGCTACTTGGTTTGTGGTCAGGCGTTGTAGAGGCTGGTGTCATTCTTCCCCTTTGTAACAAACAGTGGGATTTAGACACCTATTTCCTTTCAGACTGGGCACTGACAGGGTTGGAGGTATATATATGCGTGTATCTATACAAATCTACATGTATATTATCATTCCGTATATAAAACTTGGACAGCTGCTTCCATGAGCAAGCATACGGTAAAACCTCAGAAACAGCCAATGACCCTGCTTATTAGGCACGTGTGAGTTCACAGTGGTGGTTTTATACCATGGACATGTAGAGTGTCATGTTCATAAGACAGACTTAGGTGTATCCATATTTCCAGACACTTCCCACAGAGCACTGTGACACCGACAGGTTCTGCCACCAGGACATGTTTAAAAACCTCTCATTCCCCAGACAAAGCCCAACTCCTCTGCTCAGCGTGCTGGGGGCCTTCTACCTGCATACCTCAAGGCTCCACTCTGGCCAGTGAGCACTTTTAGCCTTTCTGAGGATGCACTTACAACCCACCCAACCCACCCCCATGCCATCCTCAGCATATCAATCTGCTCTGAATTCAAAGCATGAGGGTTAATTGAGTAATCTACTTCTGTGTGCACAAAGCTTGACCTTGCTGCAGCATGGGACAATATGGAATGATGGAAGAATGTTCAGGGAAGCTTGGGAAAGAAGAAGAGGACAGGGCAGTATAGTGGGAGTAATCTGGAAGGGCTTCCTGCAGGAGGCCTGAGACCCTAGAACTGACAGTAGATGCTTTTAGAACTTTCACTGTGAGGGATTGGGGGCATCTCCTCCCAGCTTGACCTCAGTTTCCTTGTATCTAAACCCAGGGGGATTGGCTGAGTGGGCAGGAATCTGTTCACTGCTGTTGTCTGGCTGGGAGGAGGGAGCCGGGAGCCAGCTGAGGGCCTGGGGTGGATGGTGACCACCTGAGACCAGGCTCAGGCCCCAACAGGCTGGTCCAGAGTTGTTCCCTGGAAGTGTCATCTCAGCTGAGCTGGAGCCATGGGGTCCCCGTGGCTGAGGCAGTGGAGTCCCTCAGGAACAGCTGCCAGGAGCCTGACCATGAAAGAAACCAGACTCGCCTTATCTGCCTTCCTTTCCCAGACACACTGTGTGATAAGAGAGTTAAATGCTTTGGGGAGTCTTCTGAATTGAGTCCTTTCAAGCTGTGGTGTGAGTGGAGGAGGGTCGGGGCAGTGGGGTTAGCTGTCTTAGGGTGGAGGTCCTGGCCTCGCCTGGGCGATGTCCCCACGTATGAGCCTGCGTGGCTCAGTGCTGAGAAGGCCTGAAATATTATTCCTTTCCTCACAAAAATGTTTAAAAACGTTCCCAGGAAGATGATCCTGTTTCCTGGAGTTTGTGAAATCAGACTTATCCCCCTGCCTCTCCCCTAAGGTTCCCAGCCAGGCCTGGCCTCCCTCATGGGAATACTCCCCCTTTTTAAAACAAAGTTGAGTTGAGGAATCTTGAAGGTACCGTTCTCAGCCCAGGACTCTCCAGTGATTTCTGCCCTGGCTCCTGCATACTGAGGCCCCTCCTAGGTTCCCTTTCCCATGGCCAAGACAGGTTGCCCCCTGGAAGACCTGCCAAAGGAAGACAGTAACCCACTGGGGAGGGTACTGGAGACCATGCGTGGGCCTGGGCCCTGGGAGAACAGCTTGCTCCAGTACTGCCCAGCCTGGCCTGGCCCTTTGGTTTAAGAGCTCTGTTTTCTGTGAAGGTCCCGCTGGGTGGTTGCCCCAGTCCCACTCCTTTTCCTCACCCTCTTCTGGCTAAGGCAGGTCTGGTGGGGCCAGTCAACCTCCCAGCCTGCCCCACGTCCTGGGAGTTGTCCTCTCTGCCCTCTGGAAGGCCAGAGCGCTCTGTGGCTGGAGACCTGGGTCGGAGCAGGAGACCAGAGCCCCAAACCTCGACTCTGCAACTACCTTTAGTCAGGTGTGGATTTAGGAGCACCTCCATTCCGCTCTGGGTTTGGTTTCCCCCTCCTGTGGTGATGGGCTGGAGGGTGTTCTCAAATAGCCCCTTACTCCTTCCTCTGAGGCACAGGCAGAGCTGTTTCCCGGGTGAGAAATGCTTCTAGTCTTGGGCTGGAAGAGTGAGGGGCTCAGCCTCCTGGCCTGAATTAGCCCTGCCCTCCCCTTCTTCCTTTGCTGGAGACCCCTTAGCAGGAATCCCACTGGTGCCATCTGATCATGGCGTCTGGTCCCCTCGGGCACTGTGGGGTGTGGGGGTCCTGCAACGTGCAGGGACAGGTGCGTGGGGGGCCCCCCAGAGAGACACACATTCCTAGGAGAACAGTCAGCCTGTCCCTCCAGGCCCCTGCCTGGACCTGTGGAACCTGTTGGGCCAGAGCAGGGTGGGTGGGGGGATGTGGAGACCCCAGAGCCTTGGGGACAGTGGGGGCTGGGGTTCCAGCTGGACTGGCTGGTTCTCCTCCCTTTGCTGCCTTGGCTTCAGGCTAGCTATAGTGGCATGGCTCCAGGGGTGCCCTTCCTGATCTGGGGTGCCTGAGAGGTGGGAGGCACCCTGTGCCCTTCTCCAGCATTCCTGTGAATGGGCCTTGCCTCTTCTCCGCCACCCTCCTGAACTAGGTTGAGGGATCGCCTCCTCTTCAAGGCTAAGCTCTTCTCAGGCTGTGGGTCCTGTTCTCCCTTACCTCCCCAGGGCCCGACCCTGCAGATGGCCCCCTCACCTTTCCCTCAGCCTATAAATGCGGTTCTGGCACATCCATCTGGAGAAACTCCTTTTCTGACTCCCCTAAGGTTAAAGCTGCTAGTGTCTTTGTTTCTCCCCAGTGTCTCCCCCAGGTGCTCCTCTCCTCAAACTTCTGATCACCAGCAATCTTTCTTTTAAACCCAACAAATGCTTGCTGGGACTCATCTTCCCCTCCTTTTCCTGGACCTCAGGCCGCCTTCAGACTCACTTCCCTCCCTTGTTTTCTCAACATTCTTCAGGGTTTCTTTCCACCTCTTGACTGCTCCTTCCCATCCTCCTCCACAGACTCCTCTTCTGCTTCTTGAAATGGGGGTGTCTCGCCCCAGGCCCCTATGAGCCCCAAGCCACTCTTCTCTGCTGGGCTTCCAGACACCCTTGGAAGCTGTGGTTCCTGTTTCTCTATGCTCATTCTTCCCTTCTCTTAAACTTCACCCCCCAGTATCCAGCTATCTCCTCAACTCCCTGATGTCCTAAGGGCCCTTGCACTCATCATGTCCCAAACCAAAATCCTTGTTTCCCCTCTAAACCTGCCTCTAACCCTTCCCAATTACTTAGGCCCCCAGCCTGCGCTTGGAAGAGGTTTGGCATCCTTCCTCTCATGTCCACTAGCTCTCCCTGTTGAATCCCTGTGCCCCAAAGCTCTGAGTCCTTCTTGCCCTTGGCCTTCCCACTGCACCATCTCCCTGAACCAGAACCCGGGACAAGTGAGGTAGCTTGCCATCTGGTCTCTCCTATGCCACTCTCTTGCTGGCTTCTGAAGGGCATTCCTGAAACACAGAGCTGACGACTTTGGGCTCCTTCTTGTCTAAGGAGTCAAGTTCAAGTCCTTGAGGCAAGCAGCTTCGCTGGTACCTGTGTTCTGGTCATGTGTGGTCAGCATATCTGTGCCTTGATGTCTCTCTGCTTTTGTAGACACAATTCACTCTGCTGGGTATGACCTCCCCCCCTTATCCACCTGGCTCATTTTGAACTTAACGCAGGCACCCCTGCCTCTGGGAAGCCTTCCCTGCCCTGCTGGGGTGGATGAAGGGTATCTGAGGCCTCCTCATGCTAGCTTAGCTCCATTTGTTCATGTGCCCGGCTTCCCTGCCAAACTGATTCTCCCCACAGCAGGGTGGGCACCTCCTTCGCTGCAAGAGGAGCTGAGCCATCTGGGGCCCGGGACATGCTATTGTTTGTCTGGGAAACTTGCGAACCAGGAGGCCAACCTGGAGGCATCTAGGAGAGGCAAGGCCAACCTCTGAAGATCTTAGGAGAGCCCCCACCAGCCCTCAGACACTCTCAGCCCTTCCCACCCCCTCACTGGAAGGTGGAGGACAGGACCAAGGTTGAGGAGAACTTCCCTCCTGGCCACACGTCCCAGCTGTTTTTTTGCTATATAAAAGGGCAGTGCATGTTCCCTCTTTGAGCCTTCAGGTCCCATCTGTCAAATGAGGCTGGCAGCGTCCACCTGGGAGGACAGATGCAAGTTAGCATAGGTGGCTGTGCCCAGGAAAAGGGCTTGACTTTTGGTAGCTGCCAGTTGGCACTTGCATAGACTGCTGCCATGTCTCAAACAGGGAGACTGAGACCCCAAAGGGACATGACATGGCTGAGGTCACACGGTGGGTTAGCAGCATAGCCAGGATCCCAGGCCCCACACTAGCTCTTGGTTTTGGCTGTCAATCTGCCCCTGCATGCCTCGCCCACTGTCACTGCCCAGCTAGGATGGAGGGATTGCATGGAGCCAGTGCCTAGCTGGGTAAGTCTTGTGTCCCTGCATCCCATGAGAGAGCCTCAGTGTGAGGGGGCTTTGTTGCCCATCATTGGCCCAGAAGGACCTTGTGTCTTTGGGCCCCTGCTGTTCCTGACCCATGCTGTCCTGGCTCAGCTGAGAGGGACAGGGGGCTGGGCTGGCCTGACCCTGGTCATCTGGTCCAGCCTGGGGCAGGGGGTGGGCTGGCCTGGCCCACTTTAGAACCCTCAGTTGTGACCTCTGTCCTCAGCTTTTTTGGGCTCTGCCTCTCAGGCTCAGCAGTTGGGGTGGGTCTGTCACAGCTTGCCATGTGTCGGCCCATCCCTGGACCTCCTGGGACTCTTTTCTCTCAAAATGTGGATGTTTTCCCTGCCAGACCCAGGAGGGGCTTTGGGAAGTGATTTTGTGGGTGGGTAGCTGGCCCTAGCTGATGTGGCATTTGTGTCTCTCTAGAGTGTGGATCATGACGAAGGCGGTGAGTTGGAGAGGAGAAGGACCTCAAACTCGTGCATCGTTGAGAATGGGCATCAGCCAGGCGCAGGTAGGGGCAGCTGGATAGGTTTGGGGGCCAGGGCCTCAACCATGCATCTGTGCTGGGCCATCCCTTGGCTCAGTGGGGACTTAAGCATGAACCCAACAAGCAGAGAAGCTGCCGGGAGAACAGCCTCATTCAGTGTGAAGTCAAACTTTTTACACATAGGGAAACGGGAGGTAGTGAGCATCCCTATTTCTAGAGGAAAGCAAGTAGGGGGCCGAGGAATTTGTCTAAGCCACTAAATAGGGTACAGAGTGGACTGACAAGTTGACATATTTTTTAAGTGAGCTACAAGGGGAAGTTGGGAAAAACCAACTCTGGCTGGAAAAGCAAGATATCTCTGGTGAGGGGATGTCAGGGAGGTTGGGGTGGTCAGGGAGGCCTTTCTGGAGGAAGTGGGAAGAGGGTACAGGGAGGCTAGAGCCCTCCTGGGAGGTCTGAGGCCCCTGTGACTGCTACAGCTGACCCCCACCCCTGCTGGTCACATGTTCTAGGTCCAGGTGATGGACTCCCTGAGATTGCCCAAATGTTCCCTGCACCGGAGCCCCCCAAGCCTCGCCCCATGAGCCTCTCTTTGCGGCTGCCCCATCAGCCGGTCACGGCCATCACCCGAGTCTCCGAGAGGTTCTCTGGAGAAACCTCAGCCGCAGTTCTGTCTCCCACGTCTGCTGCTATCCTGGGGGGCTTCAGCCCAAGCCCCAGTGAGGCCACCACACCCTGGACTCCCAGTCCCAGTGGTATGAGCAGGAGAGCATGTCCTGGGATTAGATGTCAGCTCGGGGTGGGTGGCGAAGGGCAAGGGTTGGTGGGAGACTGGGAAAACCCAGGGCAAGCCCAGCCCTGGCTCTGCCTGTCGTTGTGACCCCTTTCTGTAGCCATCCTGGCTGGACTCCTCTCAGAGATGCCATGAAACAGTGTCATTCCCCGTGTTTCACAACAGGCCAAGGCTGTGGTTGGAAGGCGATTCTTGCCTGGCACACTTGGCAGAGTCCCCTCCCCCAAGGCCCTCAGGCCAGACATGGGCTTGGATTAGGGCCCAGTGGTGTGTCCTGGGGTTGCTGAGTGGGCTTCCCAGGAGGGGCTGGGATACCCATCACGGGAGGCCCTGGGCTTTGTACTCTCGAGAGCAGGGTGTGGGCAGTTTGAAAGTTCTCTTTTATGTTGTCGCTCTGTGTTCCCAGCCTCTTTTCTCCTCAGCTGTTGGCTGGGACAGGGCCAGCCTAGCCCAAGGACTCTTGCTAGGCTGCAGAGCAATGCTGGGTAAATGGGGCAGGGCTGGGTCAGAGGAAGGGAGGCTGTGCTGGCCCTCCCTGAGGCCAGGGTTCGTTTCTCTCCCTTTCTGTGTCCTGCAGAGAAGAATTCCTCTTTCACACGGTCTCTATCGAGCTCTGGCTATGGGGCAGTGATGGCAAGCAAGCATGACAGGTGAGTCAGAGCCCACGTTCTGTTGTGGGGTTGTCGCTCCCCAGGTGACTTCTCTGCTTTGGGTCCAGGCTGCCCAGGACACCTGCAGGAGCTTCCTGTGCTGACCAAGAGCAGGCATCCTCCTCAGGTTAGCGCCTGGGAGAAAGATTCAGGGAGGCTGGATGTCTTCACCCAAGGCCTGGGCCTCTAGAGTGCTAGGGCCGCAGGGCTTGTAGGTAGTGTCTGAGCAGGAGAAATGAGGTAGCGGGGCATGCTGGAGTTTTGTTTGGAGAAATACGGCTGCAGGCTGGTTTATCTGTGGACCCTTCAAAGTAAGTTGCTCAAAAGAATGGAGGGGATGTCTCAGGCCCCATGGGAGGAAGGAGCATAGGAGAGTCTTCTGCTTTGTCTTCCTCCATCCCAGCTGGCTGGGGTCCCTCAGAGCTGGGTGCTTGCTGTCCACCACCTGTAGAGGTACCTGGAGAGGCCTATGGGCAGAGGCAGGCCAGCAGGGGCATCTCTGTCATGCAGGGCTCCCCCAGCCTGCCTTGTCCCTATGCTCCTGCAAGTCAGCTGGACTATGATTGGAGGTAGAGGTAAGATGGTGAACTCGGCTTTTCTTTTTTCTTTTTTTTTGAGTTGGAGTCTCACTCTGTTGCCCGGACTGGAGTGCAGTGGCCGCTCCTGGCCACCACAGCCTCTACCTGCTGGGCTCTGGCAATCCTTCTGCCTCAGCCTTCCTGTAGCTGGAACTACAGGCGCGTGCTACCATGCCCAGCTGATTTTTGATTTATTGTAGAGATGAGGTCTCGCCAAGTTGCCCAGGCGGGTCTCGAACCCATGGCAATCCACTCACCTCAGCCTCCCAAAGGCGCGGGATTACAGGCTGAGCCACTGAGCCCGGTGGCTTTTCTTTTTTTTAATAATAAAAAGACAATTATGACTTCCTGGCAAACTATTCAGGAGAACAAAGGGAGTCTTATCTAGTGGTGGAGGACGGAGGCCTGGTCCTGGTGGGGTTGGTTCTGGGTATACCTCCTGCCTGAGGAGGGTGTCCTTTGTCCTCCCCAAGCACTGACATCTGCCAAGGAGTGGTTATGTCCAGAGAGGGGCCCTCTGTCTCTCCTCAGTTGGGCCTGTTGGCCAGCCCTGCTTCCAAGGGCAACACAGGGGACTGGAGCACGCAGGACTTCCTCTCTAACCACACTCCCACAGCACCTGTTGTGGGTGCAGACTGTCTGCCTCGTTCTCACTTGGAGCAGAGGGAGACCCTGGCACCCAGGTGAGCCAGTGGCAGGTGGGCCCATGTTCCTGATTTGGTGGTTCTCTTCTCAGCCCTCCACTGGTGACGCCACCCCAGTCACCTGTGTCCATGCAGCCGCCAGCCACGATTCAGGCCCATCGGCAGGGAGAGCGTCGCAGGGAGCTGGTGAGGTCACAGACGCTGCCGCGCACCTCGGGGGCACAGGCCCGGAAGGCGTTGTTTGAGAAGTGGGAGCAGGATACAGCGGGCAAGTACGGACGCTCACCCCCAGACCTGGCCGGGGCCCCCACAGCAGGCTTGGACTCAGGCTGCAGTTGGGCCGGCATATCAGAGCAAGGCTGGGCCCTCTCCTGTTCCCCAGGGCGTGGGTCCTCAAGACGACCTCTCAGGCAAGGCACAAAATCAGGACTGGGCCACGTGGCAGGTTGGGGGCCCCCGTTGTGGGGAGTTGAGGGCTTGTGAGGCAGGGAAGTAGGCAAGGCCTGGTAAGAGCCCCTCTCGTCTCCTCTGTTCCCTAGTCTGCACCCCCGTGTCCCTGGCTGCCCTCACACCCACATTCCTCATGAGTTGTGGCTCTTTTAGTGTTTGAGCATGACTGGGATCAAAAGGGGACTGGGATTCCTGGGCAGAGCTGGGAAGCCCAGCCATGGGACTGGACTTACCTAAGGGCTGAAGAAGTGAAGCTGTGGGACTTGAGCGCCTGCTGGCCTGCTATCATGCCCTGTGAGAGACGAGATCCTTGGCCTATGACCCACCTCTGCATACTTATCCAGGCCTCTTGTCTGTGCAGGTTATCGATGCCTGCTGTGTGCAGAATGTGGCCCAGGCCCTGCATGATGACAGAGACAACAGCCAGTCCCTGCTTGATTCTAGTGAGGGAGGCAGACCCAGAAAGTGTTCCCACTCACCCCAAACAACCTGGCTTTGGTCTTTAGGGCCCAGAGAGGAAAATATCCCTCCTGGGTTGGAAAGAGCCATCAGGGCAAGAGATCCTCCATCAAGGAAGGGAACCAGAGGAAGGGGTGAGAAGAAGGAAAGGAGGGAGGAAGGTGCTTCAAGCAGAGGGCCACGTGGGCTCTAGTCCTTTGTCTCAGGTTCACCAGGTCATTCTGCGTCCTAATGTGGGAAATAAACAGGGGACCTGGAGGGGTGCAAGGGGCAATAGTTCTGCCACATACCATCAGAGGAGGCCGTGCAGCTGGTACATGGGCTGCCATGGACACGGCTGTGAGGCACCAAAGCTCTGCTGACAGGGCAGAGCAGGTGGGGGCATTCTCTTGGCGGTGCAGGGACGTGCCCTTCTCTGCCCGGACCCAGGCTGGGCGATGGCAGCTGGAGGGGTGTCCCCACAGCAGGCCTGCCTTCTCTTCACAGGGGGAAAGGCGAGACCCGGGCCAAGTTGAAGCGGTCCCAGAGCTTTGGCGTGGCTAGTGCCAGCAGCATTAAGCAAATCCTGCTCGAGTGGTGCCGCAGCAAGACTCTGGGCTACCAGGTGAGCCTCAGGATTCCCCCTGGCTCCTATGACTCCCGGCCAGAGTCTCGACCAGGTGTCACCCCATCCTTGTTCTCCTGGTCAGAGCAAGAGTCTGCTGAGGCTGGGAGGATGGGGCGGGAGGCAGGGAAATTGTGAGTGGCTGAGTGGGTACCCAGCTGCCCACGGCATGAGCATAGAGATTCCAGGAGTCCTGTGTCTAGGCCCCCGCACTGACTTTACTTACCCTGCTCATAGCACGTGGACCTGCAGAACTTCTCCTCCAGCTGGAGTGACGGCATGGCCTTCTGTGCCCTGGTGCACTCCTTCTTCCCTGATGCCTTCGACTACAATGCCCTGAGCCCTACACAGCGACAGAAGAACTTCGAGCTGGCCTTTACCATGGCTGAGTGAGTATGGTGGATCCCGCTGGCTGCCAGCCCAGCCCGGTCCCTGAACCCAACTTCTGCTTCCGGTGGGGCATGGAAGGCCAGCAGGTGAGGCAGCTGTCTGCAGAGCTAAAGGCCCTGAGGCCATCTGGTCTACCACTTGTACAGATGGGGAGACTGAGACCTGGAGAGGGATTTACCCAGGGTCACATAGCACTCAGTGGTGGAGTGCTGCTCTGTTCCTGGGGTACCTGTCCTCTTTGCTGGATGTCCAGCCTCTGGGGTGCAGTCTGGGAGACCAGCCATGACTAGGCTTGAGGAGTAATGAGACAGAGCTCCCCAGAGCACTGGATCTGTCCTTTCTAGGCTGGTGGAGAGATACCATTGCTTAGATGAGCCACAGCTGCCAATCAGCAAGAAATTGGATACTACCTGGGATTTTTTTTTTTTTTTTTTGAGTCAGAGTTGCCCAGTGCCCAGTGTGGAGTGTAGTGGCATGCTCATGACCACTGCAGCCTCGACCTGCTGGGCTCAGGTGATTCTTCCATCTCAGCCTTCCAAGTAGCTGGAACTATAGGCATGAGCTACCATGCCAGGCTTATTTTTTGGTTTATTGTAGAGACCAGGTCTCACCAAGTTTCCCAGGCTGGTCTTGAACCCCTGAGCTCAGGCAATCCTCTCTGCCTCCTAAAGTGCTGGGATTACAGGCCTGAGCCACCACACCGACTTTTAAAAGTAGATTTTTGCTTCTAAGAAGTAAAAAATCTACTTTTAAAAGTCATATCTGGAACTTTTAAAAGTAGATTTTTGATTCTAAGAAGTCAATTTTTCAGCCGGGCTCGGTGGCTCAGCCTGTAATCCCGTACCTTTGGGAGGCTGAGGTGAGTG